TATGAATATATATAATATATATGTATATAAAAATATATAATATATATACATAATATACATATGTATATAAATATAAATAAATATAAAACTATATATATGAATATATATAATATATATGTATATAAAAATATATAATATATATACATAATATACATATGTATATAAATATAAATAAATATAAAACTATATATATGAATATATATAATATATATGTATATAAAAATATATAATATATATGTATATAAAAATATATAATATATATGTATATAAATATATATATGTATAAAATATATATATATAATACTTTTTACCCCGGGGTAAAAAGCAAAATGTCTTCTATCCCCCAGCATTGTAGGAGAGGCTATAAATTGGAGCTCCTTGCACTGGGGAATGGCTAAATAAACCACTGCCATGTGCAGCATGTAGAGCAAGTGAGGTCAGTCTATCTGAACTAAGATGAAAAGGTTTGCATGGCCTGTTGTTGAACGAGAGAAGGAAGCAGAGTGAAGAAGTTATTATATGTGATGTGTGTGTCGTCCCATAAATGCAAAGAAAACGACCTGAAGGCTGTGAATCTGAGGTCGACGGTGATCTCTAGGGAGGAGGACAGCAAGGAGACTTTAGCTTTTTTAAACAGGAGAACACATTTATGTAGAAGGAGAAAGATCAGGTTTTAAGTTACCTATGGTAGAGCAGTTCCATTTTCTCCTTCTCCCCCCACCCCCTTCCTTCCTTTTGTGTTTAACAAAAGGAGAGCCACATTGAAATCATGTCCTACGTGCACAATTCAGGTACAGTTCAGAGCTTTTAGGTAACCACTGAGGAGGTAAGCCAAGGGGGTCAGAGTGTGACTAGGGGGTTGGCGGTGAAAATCAGCTCTGGGCAGTGGAAACAGCTCAGTGCTGGCCCCTGTTCTGTGGGTGACTGCCTCTTTGACCTTGGCCAGCCTGGGAGCCTTTCTGGACCCTCATGTGTTGCCCCTTGTAAAACAAGGGGCGGTCTTAAACCCTCTTATTTTAACTCTTAAAGATCTGTCATTCTTTAAACGATTCCTTAGAAGGTTGAAGGCTGTGGTCATGACAGTGAACAGCTTGCTGTGGGATAATGTACGTAGACGGTACACTGTTCCTCCTTACCTGCTTGGTGAAGAAGAGTTGGCCGTGTTTCTAAGACTGGAGACTGTACGCCAGCTGGGACATCTGAGACCATTTATTCATACTCTCACTCAGGGTCACAAGTAGCTCAGGGGCTTCCCATGTGGGATGGAGAAGATCCCCACTGGAACAGACTCACCAGGAAAAAAGTACCCTCTTCTCCAGAATGGTGCAGCCCCGCGGGGGATTTCAGTCTTAGGTTTTAACCACAGGCACCAGCCCGGCTCCCATCCCGCTGCTGACGCAGGATCTGGTTCTCCTTTCTTTACTTACTTTATTTCCCTCCTACCCGGCCTTTCTCCCTTTCTAGAAGTGGTGTCACTTCTAATCGCTCTTGCTCCCAGATGGTGACAGGGACCTGCATAGGCCACTGACGTTGCCAATCCTTACCTACACACCTCAAGTCCTGGGGTTTGCTGATGCATTTTGATTCGTTGTGCACCAGTGCAATTTCCTGGGTCTGGTAAAGCCTTTCTACCCTGGTTCCTTCAGTTCACTTCAGACACCCATCCTCTTGGTTCCCCTGTGGCCTCCTCTGTACTGTTCAACATGGGTGACTGGTCTTCTGAAGGATGCCAGGCCCTTGTCTTTCTGGACTTTATCTGCCCCATCCTCCTATCTCTGAAAGTTTTTTTCTAGTCTTTTGTGTGTGTGTGTGTGTGTGTGTGTGTGTGTGTGTGTGTGTATGTGTGTGTAATCCTCCCACCCCTCCCCATTGGTGTTGGTCTTTTAGACTTAGCTGTGGTCTTCACGTTCTGCATACTTCCTGTGCCTGCAGTCACTTATGAGTCATGATTAGAAGTGAAACTTAAAAAGCTGCATGTCCCTACCACTTGGTACCTTCTAGGATGGCCCTATTTGAAAACAAAAACAATGAGAAAATAACAAGTGTTGGCAAAGTGGTGGAGGAATTAGAGCCCTGGTACGTTGCTGGTGGGAACGTAACATGGTATAGCCACTGTGGGCCACCGTGTGGTGGTTCCTCAATCAGTCAAATATGGAATTACCATTGGATCCGGTGATGCCAGCTTGGGAATATGCCCAGAAGACAATGAGTAGTCAACAGCTTGTACATGGATGTTCGTAGCAGCACCATTCATAACAACCCATTAATGAGTGAAGGATAAACAAATGGGGTATTCAGATGATGGAGTATTATTCAGCCACACAAAAAAGAAGGAAGTACTGATACGTGCTACAACATGATGAACCTCAAACACATTATGCTAAGCAAAAGAAGCCAGACACAAGGGTCATATATTATATGATTCCACCTTTATGAAGTATCCAGAATAGGTAAATCCGTAGACACAGAAAGATTAGTGGTTGCCAGAGCCTGGGGCAGGAAGGAGGGAGTAGAAGGTGCCTGCATACTGGGTATAGGATTTCTTTTTGGGGTGATGAAAATGTTTTAGAACTAGATAGAGGTGATGGTTGTATATTATGAGGGTATTTAAGGACACTGAATTGTACACTTTTTAAAATTTTTTTTAAATGTTTGATTTATTTTTAAGACAGAGACAGAGCATGAGTGGGGAGGGGCAGAGAGAGAGGGAGACACAGAATCCGAAGCAGGCTGCAGGCTCTGAGCTGTCAGCACAGAGCCCGACGCGGGGCTCAAACTCACGAACTGTGAGATCATGACCTGAGCCGAAGTTGGACACTTAACCAACTGAGCCACCCAGGCGCTCCAAGAATTGTACACTTTAAAATAGTTAATTTTATGCTGTCTGAATTTTACCTCAATTAAAAAAAAATTGGGATAAAGGAACTGGCTATGACCACACCGCCCCCCCAAAAAAAGATTAAAAATAAGTTAAAAAAAAAAATTTCAGGTGAGCCGGCCAGCATGATAGTCACTAGCCACTTGTGGTTGCTGAGCACATGTAATACGGCTGGGCCAGATGGAGGTTGCTGGAAGGATGACATTCATACTGGACTTCAAAGCCTTATGTGAATAAAAGAATGTAAAAGAGCTCATTAGTGATATTTCAATAGTGATTATGTGTTGAAATGATACTATTTTGAGTATATTACATTAGATAACCTATATATATTTTTAAAAGCAAATACCCCCTGGAGAGAAAAGAGGCTTCAATCCACACTAGAACCTGAAAATTTGATCTTTACCTAAGGTTTGAAGCTGCCCCCATAATCAAAGAGATGGGAAGGAGTCCCCATGAAAGAAGTCTTAAATTTCCCTGTATCTGCAGTTAAAAAAAACCAAAAAACACAAAAAGCAAAAAAACATAAGAGCTTAGACAAGAGGTATGGCCACATTCCTCCCAGTTTGCAAAGAGCATATTTGGAACACACGGCTTTGTTTTTTGCCCTTTGACTTAATATTTCTTTTCATTTTACATCCCCCCCCCCACCAGATCAGCAATGTCTTATTTTTCGTCTTACCGCCCATCTGCATGTGCTTGTTTCGTCAGTATGCAACATGCTTCAACAGTGGCATCTACCTAATATGGACTCTCTTAGTGGTAGTGGGTAAGTGGATTCATTTTCAAGCATGGGCTGAAAGGGAGGAAATGGAATTCTGCACACTTCCTGTCCTGTTTGAACATTATGTTTTGTAAACCAAAGTCACTCTGACGTCTCAGCCAACTTTTATTTTGCTTGCTTGACGCCAGAAGGAGGGCTCTTTTGAATACGGCCTTGATAACAAGGTTGACTGTAATTATCACTTAATTGCCTTCGAAGGTGTATTTATGTAATGGCTATCGGTGCTGTGCCAGTGCCATTTTCTGACAACTTCTGAAGACGATCACATGAAATGATTGAACTCTGATGAGACTTTAGTGTAACGGATCAAAATTTTAAAAAAAGAAAATTCTAGATGTTTGGAGCCTTCATTGTTCTGGGAAACACTTGTGCAATTTCCATTTCCTTCCACAGCAGGTTGGGAATACTTAACGGTGAGAGAATGTTGGCTCGTTTACTGCCTGTTCCCATGAAGCCTTGGTGGATGAGGACAGAGTGTGTCTAACTGTAGGATTATTAAAGTTCTGATGTGCTGACATTGGGTCCTGCTTGAAATCCGCTCTCTAGGGCTTCAAGCGTGCATGCCTAGGTGGTAGGGGTTTCTGCCTTTAGCTTCTGCTTTCAGTGCGAACGTGATCTTGTGACTGGGACAGTGGTTGGTTGAAAGGGCGGTCCTTCAGCAGTGTATTGGATTTGTGAGTCTGTTCTTCTGTGGTGACCTTTGTGATTGGTTGTAATTGATTCTAGGAATTGGATCCGTCTACTTCCATGCAACCCTAAGTTTCTTGGGTCAGATGCTTGATGAACTTGCAATCCTTTGGGTTCTGATGTGTGCTCTGGCCATGTGGTTCCCCAGAAGGTATCTACCAAAGATCTTTCGGAATGACAGGTAAGCTCGTGGCTAAACATTTTTGCATTCACTGCTAGGTGCAGTACCCAATATATCCACGTATGTATCAAGAAAAACACGATGTAGCCTAACTTTGTGATGAGCTTATCATATACTTGTTTAATATCCACTGATTGTTTAATCAGTTTGTTTATGGTCTGACACGATAAAGAGGAAATTTTAGTATACTTGAAGAATTTATATGCTAGTGGGGGAAAATGTCAAATGTCTCTCTTATAGGATATGAACAAAAGTGGAAAGATTTTCAGTGGGGGAGAAATTATGGAATGGTAGTTCAAAGACCTTTGGTTTGCTGCTAGGACATTTCCTCGAGTCCAGTCAAGTTCTACCATTTGCTAAGTTTACAGTAGAATTCCACTAAGGAATTAGTTCCTGCAGTTATAGATTCTGTAGTTGTCAAACGGTATTGGTTTATATTTCTGCTGAGATCTACACGCATGCACACACACACACACACCTTTAAGCTGGAAATTCAGAATTTCAAGAGTGGATGCATTTTATTCATTAAAAAACCTTTAGTGTTCATTTTTATTTTGAGAGAGAGAAAGAGAAAAAAAAAAATGAACAGGGGAGGGGCAGAGAGAGAGGGAAAAGAGAGGATCCCAAGCAGGCTCCGTTCGAACTCACAAACTGTGAGATTAGGACCTGAGCTGAAATCAAGAGTCGGACGCTTAACTGACTGAGCCACCCAGGCGCCCCAAAAGATGCATTTTCGCATCTATTATGATGCTTATATGGTTATCCATCAAGTATTTTTTTGAACACTCAACTATGTAATTTTCTAGGCACTGGGCTTTGGCAGTAAACAAAACAGTAGTCTCTGCCTTCAGTGAGTTTATACTGAAGTTGAGGAGGGTACAAACCAATGAACAAACAAACAATACAATGTTATGGTAAGTGCCATGATAAAAAGTAAAGCTGGTAAGGGGTAGTGGTGACATGGGGTGCCGATTTAGAGTTTGGTCAGGGAAAGCCTTTCTGAGGAGCTGTATGAGGTTTGTTAATATCTGAAGGAACAGAAGAGAGCCAACCTCATAACGATGAGAAGGGTTCCTAGAATATACTACCCACATATATTTCTCTGTAGGACACTGTGTTTTGTCACTATATATGGATGTAGTCTAAAAACATGGATATAATTAAGCAAGCTGTGTATACCCAGGGAAGAGCTCTACTGGGAAAATAAAAGAATTCCTTACGGTTTTTCTGGTACTGTGACCAGGAATAGGAGTTTTATACATGTTAAAGATGAGGCTCCCTTCTATGGATGGAGGTGGAGGAGTGTCCATAAAACACGCTGACTGCAAAAAGCACATGGTATCTTAGTTTGAGAATGAACCAATCTTTTTTTGAGTATATGTTTTTGTATATGCACAGAAATGCCTGGAGGAGGAAGACAGGCACCGATACCATTGGCTATTCTTATTTTTTTATTTTTATTTTTTTTTAATATTTATCAATCTTTGAGAGAGAGAGAGAGAGAGAGAGAGAGGCCGAATGTGAGTGGGGGAGGGGCAGAAGAGAGGGAGACACAGAATCCGAAGCAGGCTCCAGGCTCCGAGCTGTCGGCACAGAGCCCGACGCAGGGCTCGAACCATGAGATCATGACCTGAGCCCAAGTCAGTTGCTTAACCGACTGAGCCACCCAGGTGCCCCACCATTGGCTACTCTTAGGAATGGGGAGAACCTTCACGTTTGCTTTTGATCTATACTGCTGTACAGTTTTTGTTTTTATAGAGTGCATGTTAATTTTTAACACTGAAAATATATTTTAAAATGAGATAGGGAGAAGACCTACTTCAAGTGAACTAGCTGTACAGTTTTCATTGTACAAGAAGGATTTGAATTAAATAGTATTTTGAGTATCATCGAGCAGCTCAGGTATCCTCAAGGTTCCTGGATCACAAAACCACGAGGGAGTGAGCCAGCTGCTTACTAGAAGTGATAAGAAGGGCATTTCTGGTCTTGGGAGAAATACGGTCTCCTTGGCTGAGGCTTTCTCCTCAGTGGGGGAGGGAGGCTCTCATGTGTAGCAGGTTGGTTTGGGCCGTCTCCAGTTTCCAGTCTTGTGCGTGTTCTGCTTCGGTTACGGGACTGGAAAGGAAGCACTTAGAAAGCCCTGGGAGGTGGAGAAGGGGCTTCCTGACTCTGGCTGAGAAACATCATTTACTTTTGGCCTCTCCTTTGGTGTCGAAGGTGCCCACCGCTCACCTCCATCCTTGCCCTGAGCCTGGGGTGTGGGAGGTTGAGCGCTGAGGGGCCTCTTGGTTCTCAGATCTGAGCTTTCAAGTCCTGGGATCTGAGGGAGAAGCTGCGAGCATGAGAAGAATGGTTTTGTTTGTTCATGGCCCTCCGGAGGTGCCACTTGGAATTCCAAGCAACTATTTTTATTTTTATTTATTTATTTACAAAAAAATGTTTTTAATCTTTATTTTTGAGGGAGAGAGAGACAGAGCGTGAGTGGCGGAGGGGCAGAGAGAGAGGGAGACACAGAATTGGAAGCAGGTTCCAGGCTGTGAGCTGTCAGCACAGAGCCAGATGTGGGGCTCGAACTCATGAACCACAAGATCATGACCTGAGCTGGAGTTGGACGATTAACTGACCGAGCCACCCAGGTGCCCCTCCAAGCGACAGTTTTTAATGTGTTCATGATGTGAAAAAGAAAAACTTTCTCTCTTTTTTTTTTTTTTTTTTTAAACGTTTATTTATTTTTGGGACAGAGAGAGACAGAGCATGAACGGGGGAGGGGCAGAGAGAGAGGGAGACACAGAATCGGAAACAGGCTCCAGGCTCCGAGCCATCAGCCCAGAGCCCGACGCGGGGCTCGAACTCACGGACCGCGAGATCATGACCTGGCTGAAGTCGGAAGCTTAACCAACTGAGCCACCCAGGCACCTGTTTCTTCACTTGTCAAACCAGGGAAATAATCATCTTGTGAGGGGATCCTGCAGAGCACACATGGTGAGCATACAGAGTTAGCTTTCATTACTACCAATGGCATATGGAGATTTGTGCCGAGCATTTCTGAGATACGCACATACATTGAAGGAGAAAGTGGGAATGAACAAAGAAGAGGGATGGTGTTAGGGGAGAATAACACATTATAAATAAGGAGTTCAGGTCTATTCGTCCACCTTTAACTTGCCAGTGACAGGCAGAGCAAGACGACCAGACCCCTTTTTGTGAGCCTCACTGCCTGTGACATGGGGACAGGTGCAGCTCTGTGCCCAAGTGGTGGGCCAGACCAAGGACTTCACATCAAAACCAGGGATTGTGTGGCTTCGCTGTTGAAATTTACCAGTTGACGTCTGTTTGTGATCTCGACTTTGCAGGAGTGGTTCTAAAAACACGTTAAAAGTAGTTCCAGCCTGAGATCTCTGGAGAAAGGAGAGCGACATGTGGTGGCTAAGGGATTGTATCAGACAGGCATGGCTTTGGGTAATAGGTTTTGTTTTTAAAGCCCTGGTACCTCAGTTTGCTCATCTGTAAAGTGGAGATAAGAAGAGTACCTACCTCATGGGGTTGGAAATGTATGGGAAAATCCTGTAAAATATACACTACAGTGTCTTGTACAGAGTAAGGACTCAGTAAATGCTAGCAGTTATTACGAATGTCTAACATTGGTAAGTATTTTGAAGGTAAGGTCTAGAACAGCAGGGAAATTAACGTTTATGATATAAACAGGAATAGTTGGCAGGTCCTAAGAATCATCATACGCTCAGCTGTTGATGGTTATTAATAAATAAAACATTGAAAAAAATTTAATTATTTATCTTTACATTTTTTTTATGTTTTTTTTTTTTTTTTTGAGAGAGTGGCAGCGTGTGAGCAGGGGAGGGGCAGAGAGAGAGAGGGAGACACAGAATCTGAAGCAGGCTCCAGGCTCTGAGCTGTCTGTGCTCCAGCACAGAGCCCGATGCGGAGCGCGAACTCACAAACCATGAGATCTTGACCTGAGCTGAAGTCGGATGCTTAACTGACTGAGCCACCCAGGTGCCCCTTACTTACTTTTAAGGGGGGGGGGGAGCAGAGAGAGTGGGGGACACAGAATCCGAAGCAGGTTCCAGGCTTTGAGCTGTCAGCACAGAGTCCAACATGGGACTCGAAGTCACGAACTGTGAGATAATGACCTGAGCCAAAGTCGGATGCTTAACCGACTAAGCCACCCAGGCACCCCGGTTATTAATAATTTTTACACATTTTTGTTTTGAGAAAATAAACTCCAAGAACAAAGAACTATTATAGGCTAATTGTTTCCATTTCTTAAAGATTTATCCTCCTGTGATTTTTTTTTTTTACGATTTTGCCTCCACATGATCTAGGGACAGCTCTCACTTTATAATCCAATTCAGTTTTTAAATCCTGAGTTGCATAGGTGCAGACTGGGGTCTGGCCATCCTGCTCTAAGCTGGGTAACTTGTGGCCAGGGGCTTAGACTCTCTGGGTCTTATCAGTTCCTTACTTATAAAACGACATGGGCAGACCTTCCAGGACCCACTGCTCTAGTCCTATGAATATCATGGTCTGGTTGTTCTAAATAGATCATGTTTTAGTCCTACAGGGTAGTTTAGAGCAGTAGATCTTAACCGGGGACATTTCCATCCCTTAAGAGACATCTGAGAAGTCTGTGGATATATTTTCGGTGGTTACGGTGATGGAGTTTTATCATCCATAAAATCAATTTTACTTTGGAAAAAGGGCTAAGGGCGCCTGGGTGGCTCAGTCAGTTAAGCATCCAACTTCAGCTCAGGTCATGATCTCATAGTTCAAGGGTTCGAGCCTCATGTCAGGCTCTATGCTGACAGCGTGAGCCTGCTTTGGATTCTCTCTCTCTCCCCCTCTCTATCCCTCCCCCTGCTCACACTCACTCTCTCTCTCTTGCCCTTTCTCAAAAATAAACATTTTTTTTTTTAAAACGGCGGGGAGGCATTACCAAGTTTTTGCTATAGAAAAGGGGCACAGGGTCTGATATGGTTGAAAACCACTGCTCTAATGGGTGGCTAATGATAACAGTAGCAGCTTTATTATAATATTATATTGATGGTGTTGGGCTACCAGGGTTTGATTGGGAGAATTGAAGAAGAAGGGGTGATAAGGGTTCCCTGACCTGGTGCTCCAGTTTGAGCCCACAATGGGCTGGAAAGTTGAGAACAGGACCAGAGACCACAGTAGGAGTTGCCTGATGTCACTGATAAGGTAACACCCTGTCAGACCCCGTCCCTCCTGGACATTCCCAGCTCTCTGGTACCCAGGACCTCCGGGTACCCAGCTCTCTGGTACCCAGGACCCTGACTCTGGGGTCAGTGGGACTGTCCCTGTGACTTCTGTTGACTTCTGCTGGTTACAGATTTGTATGTTCATAGGTTGTTTTGTTGGCTAAGCCACCTTCTTGAGGCGCATTCCCTCACACCCTCTGGACCGACCTGGGAGGTAGTCTGCCTGTGTTCTCCTTGAAGAAAGCAAGTTTCGTCAGGTTTGCTGCCTTTGAACTGTTTGGCAGACCTCTACAGAGCAACAGCAGCCCAGATTTTCCCCGAGAGTAGATCTGATTCACAGTAATATTATTTAAAGTCTCACTTGTTCTCACATGATGGTAATGGTAACAGTAAGAGTGGATTTGATCAGCACATACCGTGCATCAGTCACTGTGTGAAGTGCCTTAATGCTCACGGGAACCCCACGGGGTAGAGAAACTTGGGGCTTAGAGCGTTTCGTGACTTGTCAAAGGTCCCACGGCTAGTACGAGATGGAAGGAGAAAAAGTGACACACATCTGTTAGCTGGAACACCTGTGCTTAAATCGCCGTCGCCCTCACTAACCCACCCCTCAGCCATTGATCTAGAGAAGCGATGCAATTTAGGAATGGTGTTGTTTTTTGTTTGTTTGTTTGTTTTTTCCAATCTGAAAAGGCTGAAAGGCCTTGGTGTGGTTCATAGAATCTCAAAACCCAGTGAAAGAGTTATTGTGGGTCCATAAGAGTTATTGTGGGTGTGTGATGGGGGGAGGGGAGCTGCGGGCTGTGGTCCTCAGAGTGGAGCAGGTAGCCTTTCATCCAGTAGCAAAGGCTGCCAGCCAAGGCCAGGAGGAAAACAGGCTTCTCCTGAGAACTTGCTGCCTGGACCCTTTCCCACACATGTATTTTTTTTTTCTCTGGTTGAAGTTCAGGGCTACAATTCCTGTCCATTCCAGTCAGAAAGTTGGCCGCCCCATCAATGATTTCCTGTGCCTTGATGATAAATGGTTTTCCTCTCTAAGAGATAAATTTGTATTTTGGAGGTCTCAATGCACTTTGATTTCTTTATAATGGAATTTCATTCAAATTAGTTTCCCAACTGTGACCTGTTCCAGGGCTCGCGGCCAAAGTAAATTGTGCTAATGAGGAATAAAAGAAACTTCAGGAAAATCATGTGCTCCTAAATTTCAGTCATGGATGAGGCCTTAGGGATCATCTAGTCCAGGCTTTTCATTTTATAGATAAGGAAATGGAGTCCCAGGGAGAGAAGGAGGAACGCGTCCGGGATCACGTCGCCACTTCTGGCACTTTCTACTGAAAGCACCTCCACTGAAGGGAGTGAGGATGGCATTTTTCTAAGATTTGTCAGGTCAAAGACTTGTCAACACAAAATTCCAATGCATGCTAGACTGTGACTTGCCAGGACATAAAGACACGATTAGAATTTTTTCTTAAGACTTAGTTTTGTGTACTAGACAGATTTTTTTTTTTCCTTTTAAACTAGGGAGCTTTATGGTTTCTAAGTGGTCCCTGGTTTTCTTGTAAAAGTCTTACCCATTTGCCTTGTAGAACAGGGCTTGACAAGCTGTGAGCCAAATGGGTCCATTGCCTGTTTTTGCAAATCAAGTTTTATTGGCATACAGCTGTGCCCAATCACTTACTGTCCACAGTGGTGGACTTGAGTAGCTGCGGAGACCTTGTGACCTGCAACACCTAAAATATTTACTCTCTCACCCTTTATAGAAGTTTGCTAAATGCTGCTGTAAGAGATCTGAAAACAATAAAAAGGACACTAAGAAAATAATTACCCGTATCTCACCCTCAGGGACTTACATGGATTCTCATTTCACCATTCTCCTGGCTTTTTTTTAAGTTTGTTTATTCATTTTTGAGAGAGAGAGAGAGAGAGAGAAAGTATGAGCAGGGGAGGAGCAGAGTAAGAGGGAGAGAGAGAATCCCAAGCAGGCTGTGTGCTGTCCGCATGGAGCCCAACACAGGGCTCAGCCCCATGAACCATGAGATCATGACTGGAGCTGAAATCAAGAGTCTGACACTCAACTGACTGAGCCACCCAGGTACCCCCTGGCTAAATATTTTGAAAATTTCTGGCTACTTTCTAAGAATAAACTCTTAGAAGTAGAATTGGTGAGCCCATGGTTGTGAGTGGGTTTTAAACTCCTGGTACCTTGCGCACGACGTCTTCTCAGCTTGCATTTCCGCCTGTGGTGCCTGTGCTTTGCCAGCATTCATCAAACAAACAAGACCTCCTTTGCTAACAGTTTGGTTTTGCTTCCATCGATTCAGGGGCAGGTTCAAGGCTGTGGTCTGTGTCCTGTCTGCGGTCACAACGTGCCTGGCGTTTGTCAAGCCCGCCATCAACAACATCTCTCTGATGACCCTGGGGGTTCCTTGCACTGTGCTCCTGGTTGCAGAGCTAAGGAGGTGGGTACCTTCATTCTTCCTGCCCACCCCTCAGGCTGCCCCTGGGGTGGGAACATACCGGCTTCTGGGGTTTTTGTTTGTTTGTTCGTTTTTTACTGCCCTCGACTGTGGAAAAGGAATCGGACTCCTCACATAGAGTTAGTTTCTGACTATTGGATTGACAGCACATTTGATGGGTTGGTTCAAAACGTTAACGATCTCACTTCCAGAAAGAGGGGAGCAGCTGTTTAGTGGATGCAATATATCCCAGTGATCGGAAGCTAGCTTAGCAGGAAGATCTCAGGGACCTGGTGAATGCCCAGACCAACCTGCCTAGACTTAATTCTGTACAAAGAATAGATCTGTTCCTAGGACGAGAATAAGGAGAAGAGTCCTAACGAGGCTATTGCATTCACACACAGAAGGAAAAACGAATGTCTATATACGAGGCAACATTGACTCCAGGTATAATACCGTTGACTGTGTTATTTTCCCTGAGGCTTAGTCTCTTATTTACAACCTATCAGGTAAAGCCTTTGCTATTTGCCTAAGGATTTTCCTTTGGGAAGTTGTATACTCAAGTTCAGGTTGATATCTACAAGTAGTTTAGCCTTGTGTGTACATGATCTCTTTAGCCCCCAAACACATCTAACCACTGTCCTTATTTTAATACCCTGAAAATGCAGCTTTTTCTTTGTGCCAGTGTTTAGAAATGCATTTTAATTCATGACTTTCTCACTGCTATGGATGTAGCGTGTCCTAACTGAAGTCTGGGGCCCCTCTTCCTTTGTGTGAGAGTTGCTCTGTGTAAGATGTTGTCAGCTCTCCCTTCAGTCTTTGAGAGGAGACATACGGTTCTTCCCACTGCTCTGCCTCTGGGGGTTGCTTTGAATGTCAGCAATACCAGGCAGGGTCAAAGGTGGTTGAAGAAGTATTTTAAGGCACTGGCTGGCAGAGGAAAGAAGCTGTCCCGTCTTGTCTTGTTGCTTTCCTTCGGTAGCCTTGGAAGAGTGGAAGAACAAGAGACTGGCTTGGGAACGCTAATAGATTTTTGAAGCTCTTTGGGAAACACACACGTTGTCAATAAAGAGATCTGAAATGAATTTGTAATGGTCCAGTGGTACTGGCTTATATTAGGCCTGATGTGAATAGAATGTTCTGGACGTAGGTTTCTTGAGAATTCACTGCAATCTAGTTCATTTTAACTCTTGAATCTAATATGTTTTAGCCTATAATTTTGTTAAAAAGTAGCTTCAGGAAAGAGAAAATATTTTTAACTAATAATATTTAGGGGCGCTTGAGTGGCTCAGTCAGTTAAGTGTCTGACTTCAGCTCAGCTCATGATCTCATGGTCGTGGGTTCGAGCCCCACATCGGGCTCTGTGCTGACAGCTCAGAGCCTGGAGCCTGCTTCAGATGCTGTGTCTCCCTCTCTCTGCCCCTCCACTGCTCACATTCTGTCTCTCTCAAAAATAAATAAATATTAAAATATTTAAACAAGAGCAAATGGGGTTAGGACAAGTGGTTAGGACAGATTACTGTTTAAATAAATTCTGCTTCACAAGTGTGATCTTTAAGCAAGGAAAAATTTTCCTTTAATACTCTAATCTTTGCACATAATTACAAAAGAAATCTTCTGTTTCGTACTTGAGATCTTCGCCCCTGAAAAGCTAGCCATCACTGCAGCTGATTGGTCTCCATCATTGTAACCAATGGCAGCATCATGGGAAGTATCCCTCCATCCTGCCAGGGTCTGTCTTTCAGCCTAGGGATTATTCCCTTCTTTCTCTTATGCCTACTTTATTCCTGTAAATTGTCTACTGGCCCTTGATCCGCCTTTCGAAAAAAATTTTTTTTTAGTTTTTTAATTTTATTTAAACCCAAGTTAGTTAACGTACAGTGTGATGATGGTTTCAGAATTCAACGATTGATCACTTACAAATAATACCCAGTGCTCTTCCCAACAAGTGCCCTCCTTAATGCCCATAACTCATTTAGCCCATCCCCCCTCCCAACACTCCTCTTAAAAGGTCTTTCCCTTTGGCCTGTAAAAACACTGGAGTCCCTCTTTCTTCCCTAGCAGTCAGCCTGGACTCAGTCCACGACTCTCTCCAGCCACCACCCTTTCTCTCCCTCATCTGTCACAGCCCAGCATCTTGGAAGTGTTTATTTTATATATATGTGTGTGTGTGTGTGTGTGTGTGTGTGTGTATAAGTGATCTCTATGCCCAACGTGGGGCTCGAACTCAAGACCCCAAGATCCAGACTCATACATTCTACCAGCTGCGCCAGCCAGGTGCCACAGCCCAACGTCTTTAAAAGTGGCCTTCGGGGCGCCTGGGTGGCTCAGTCGGTTAAGCGTCCGACTTCAGCCAGGTCACGATCTCGCGGTCCGTGAGTTCAAGCCCCGCGTCGGGCTCTGGGCTGATGGCTCAGAGCCTGGAGCCTGTTTCCGATTCTGTGTCTCCCTCTCTCTCTGCCCCTCCCCCGTTCATGCTCTGTCTCTCTCTGTCCCAAAAATAAACGTTGAAATATATTTTTAAAAATAAATAAATAAATAAAAGTGGCCTTCATCTGCTCAGCTCTCATTTCTTCAGCCCGCTGCAGTCTAGCTTCTGTCCCACCTCGCTACCCAAGCCCCTCTTGGCTGTGCGTCCAGTGATGGTTTTTCAACGTAACTTATGTGTTCTTCCCTCAGCTATTTGCGCAGTTCACCCCCCTCGTCTTTGAAACCTTCCCAGTGCCTCGTAGGATGCCACACCCTCCTGGGATGCCACACCCTCCTGGGATGCCACTCCCTCCACGGCTTCTTTTCAGTCTCTCGTGTAAGCTCGTTTGCTGTGCACCTTTGCGGGTAGGGGTCCCTTCAGGTGACAGCTCACCTCGGCTCTCCTCCCTCTACATTTCCCCCTGAAGGAGCTCATCCACAGCCTGCAAACATCTGCAAACAACTCCCAGCTGTGTGTCTGACCCCGTCCTTCCTCCTCCCTCCACCACGGTGCATCTAGCTGCCTGTCCGACCTCTGTCCCCACCTGTCACAGCCATCTCGAGTTCAGCCAGATCACCGATCTGCCTTTTCCAGTTCTGGCTCTCCCAACATTTCCAGCAGCAGTAAATGGCACCATTTACCCATTTGCTCAAGACAGAAGCCTGGCTTCCTTTTCCTTTCCTGAGCATCCCCCCTGATCATAGTCCTTTTTCTATTAGTTGACATTACAATTGAGATTAAAGTTCAATATCCCCAGTGTGGCCCCTTGCTCGCCTCTAATATTTTATGGAGTTGTCTTAGCCAACATCGCAGTTAGGATGAAGTTCAAAATCCTGACGTAGCCCCTGCCTGCTGTAGCTCTTTCCTGCATGAAGCTCCCTGCTATACTCTGCCCTCAGCCGTTTTGACCTTCCCTATCCCCAAGGGGGCTTAGTTCTTTCTGTCTCCAGATCCTTGTTCATACTGTCCCCTTCCTTCTGACCCTTCTGTTTGGCTCACTTCTGGCTCACCTTTGACTCACCTGTTTTGGCTCAACTGTTGATACGCCGTCATAGCACCTCAGACTTCTTTCTGGCCCCCAGCCTGACTGTAATTAAAAAATTATTTGTGCTGCTGTTTTGTTTACGGTCTGTCCCCTCTGCTTGATGTAGGCTCCACGGGCAGGAGTGGGGCCTCTACGTTCACTGCTGTGTCTCTGTCCCCACTGGGATCCCAGCAGGGAGAGAGAAGGTGGTTGTTGGCCGGCTTTGATGCAATTCCCAGACGAAGAGATGTCTTTGTTGCTCTTTGCATTTCCTTCCAGGACCTTCCCCATTGTCATTAGCAATGATCTGTAATGTGCCAGCCAAATATTTCTCCTCCCACCTCCCTCTGCTCAGAAGGAACTGGGGAAGCTTTTTGTTTCTCATTAGCCTCATTCCTAAAGCTTGTTCCTCGTCTTTCCGAACCTTCTCTCAGACAAGGAAGCAACAAAATTTTACTTGGGGTTATGATTGGACATTTACTGAAATTTGTGGTGGGGTCATATTACCCAGGGACTCAGGTGCATTTAACACCTTTTAAGGTTGGCGCTTTTCTTCTGATTATTAGGATTCAGTTAAGGAAAACTTCGAGAATACAACAAAGGGTCAGGAAGAGAACTGTAGCCATCATCTCAGATTTTTTTTTTTTATCCTAAAATAGGGCCCTCCTTGTATCTATCACTTTTGTTCTGTTGTTGGTTTTTTTTTTTTCTCCATTTAACCTCACGTTTACATTTTGATCTAAGCCCTGAGAAATGGGAATAAAACCCAAAGGAACCCAGGTTTGGACAAGACCCACGGGGAGATATGCCTGGTCAGTAGCAGGCCGCAGGACCTGTCCCTCTAGAAACAGAGGAAGGGACATCATCAGGCCACCCTGAGACCTTGACTCTGAAGTGCTTTCCCCACATGTGACTCATCCCCTGACGTTCTGCCTCTCTTGCCACTTCAGGATGGCTCTGCTCCTCCTCTGTCTCAGCTCCTCTTTCTCTGCCTCCTCAGGTCTCGGCTTCAAGGGCACCTTCTCAGATAGACCTTCCCTGACAGCCCCTCCCCCATTACACTGTCCACATCGGGGGCACCCGCCAGTTTCCTTCCTGACACTCATCACTAGCTGACATTGTTTTTATTGGTGTAATTATTCGTCAAATGTTCACGTAGGCACTGCCTTTCCAGCATATTGTGATGTGTTCTGGTGTGCTCCTTAAAAAAACAAAAACCTACACATTTTGGCTTAAGTTTATTTATTTTGAGAGAGAACACACATATGAGGGAGGGGCAGAGAGAGAGAGAGAATCCCAAGCAGGCTCCACACCAGCAGCGTGGAGCCCTATATGTGGGGCTCGAACTCATGAACCCTTGAGATTATGACCTGAGCCAAAACCAAGAGTCGGACGCTGAACCGACTGAGCCACCCAGCTGCCCCCAAAGTTTCTAGGTTTAATTGAGTGTACATGGGTCCTCTTTTGTACCAGATTGGCCATATTTGTTGACATTTGTTTTTGTCCATTTTCATTTTAAAATGGCAAGGCAAGGGTCCTGTTCATTTTGCCTTTCGTAGTGCCTGGCATGGCTTCAGAGAATTTGGTACACAGTCAACATGGTTACTTTTTTTTTTTTTAATCCAGAAAAAAAAAAATGTGTTCCTAAGATCCCTAGGATCTCATTAACATTTTCCTTTACTACCTTGTTTTGTCTATTCATCCAGCAAGCATTTATATCATGCCTATCCTGGGCTGGGCACTGCACACACTTGGGGGCAGGTGTGGCTCCTCTCTCACTGATCTTGCAGTCTGGTTGGATACTAGACATTTGACAAATAATTACACCAATAAAAACAACGTCAGCTAGTGACAAGGGTCAGGAAGGAAACTGGCGGGTGCCCCCGATGCGGACAGTGTAATGGAGGAGGGGTGGTGCGGACAGTGTAATGGAGGAGGGGTGGTCCGGGAAAGTCTATCCGAGAAGGTGCCCTTGAAGCTGAGACCTGAGGAGGCAGAGAAAGAGGAGCTGAGACAGAGGAGGAGCAGAGCCTCTGTGAGGGAGGAGCAGGTCTAAGAGTGCGCCGTTCAACAAAGCTAAGTCGGAATTGAGTCGCTCTGATCAGGGGCCTCTGTTGTCCCAAAACATGTTTTGAAAAATTTTCAAGGAATGCATTTAGCTCTACAAAAGGGTATTTCAGTTTGTTTTTTTCTGAGTAGGACTTTCTGAACGTACTGCCCATCCTGTTTTCACCGAGGCTTTTACTGATGCCTCTGCCAGGCAGCTGGGAAAGGTACCAGCAAGTGAGGCTTCGGACACCTTACTTGTTCAACAAATATGAACAAATAAACATGACCCCCTTCTCGGGTACAGATGTCACATTGGACCCTGGGACCGGGAAAGAGAGCTTGATTGACTGAGGAGTGGCCCGTGGGGGAAGGAGGGGGAAGGAGACTCTGAGGGAGGGTTTAGAAGGACCCTCAGCCACCAGCTGCCTCTGGACATTCCTCCCTAGGAACAGAAGTCACCCCGTTATGAGTGATTCGGGAACAACAAAAGGAAAATAGTTGAAATTTCTTTGGGCTGTTAGTATTTGTTTCCGAAAGCATTTTGTCCTAGCGTAGGTCAGAGTTCTTTCCTTCATTCAGCAAAGAGTGGGAGCCCTCTGTGTGCCCAGTGTTATACCAGGGGAAGACCAACTATCAACAAATAGCTACGACATGAAGGATGCTAGAAGGCTTATAATCCCTACAGAGGACATGACAGGAGAGGAGGGGGTAATGGGGAATTGGGAGGAATCACTTAGGGGGCAGAGACAGGTGGTCCAATGGTTAAAGACAGTGATCAGGAAAGGGTTTACTGAGTGACATTTGAGCAGAGACTTGGGAGACAGTGAGCCATGTGGTTTTGTGCGAAAGAACATTCCAGGTGGCAGCAGCAGCCGATGCTGAGGTCTGGGGAACACGCCCGGGATATCTGACGAGCACAAGGATCCCCGGATGGCGTGGTGGATAAGCAGAGGCAGCGAGGGGCAGAGTATGTAGGAGAGCAGGTGGAAGGCAGAGGAGAAGCCGGGACGTGTGGGGCCTTGTGGGCTTTCCCTCTGGTCGGAAAGGAAGACACGGGAGGCTTTGAACGGAGCGTGGAGAATGGACCATGGGAATGAGGGAGGGAGGACACAGTTGTCATAACTCAGGCAGGAGAGGACGGTGGCCTGGACTCAGGCGGGGGTGGTAGGAGAGGCCAGCTTTTGGGTATATATTGAAGGCAGAGCTGCTGTGGGGTGTGTGGAAAGAGAACAAGGACTCCAAGACTCTTGGCCTGAGCTTCCGAAAGCATGGAAGATTCTTTGGAGGGGGCAGGGGGAGATCAGGAGTGCATTATGGACATGTTCAGTTTAGGTCCATAGCACAGGTGGGTAGACACGTCAAGGCGGTCAGGTATGTGAGTGAGTCAGGGAGAGGCCTGGATGAGACACATTGGGGGCCATCTGTGCATGCATGGTGTCTATATCCACAAGCTTGTGGGGTGACAGTATGTTGGGCTGGACCTCCAGTGCCAAGGGCCTAGGGGGATGTGAGGAGCCAGAGGAAAGTGGCCAGCGAGCTGGGTGGCAACCAAGCCTGATGGCGACCTGCTTTCTGGATCCCTGTGCAGGTGCGATAACGTGCGTGTATTTAAGCTGGGACTCTTCTCCGGCCTCTGGTGGACCCTTGCGCTCTTCTGCTGGATCAGTGACCGAGCCTTCTGTGAGCTGTTGTCGTCCTTCCACTTCCCCTACCTGCACTGCGTGTGGTAAGCCCCCGCGACCCCACGGGGATCTGTGCTTGTTGTCAGGCATCATTCTCCCTGCAGGGTGCGCAGGTGTGTGAGGGGACAGCACAGGCTGAGCGCCTTTCTCCTCACAGAGACCGTCAGGAAAGTGTGCTCAAAGGCGGAAGGGGCTCCAGGGAGCAGGCTTAGCCAGAACTAAAAGACCTAATTGTGCGTGTTTCAAGTCTGCGGTCTCTTACCTTTAGCTCCATTACTAAAGCATAAAGGAGCTTGAAAACCGAATCTGTAACCTGAGCTGTAGCTAGATCTCTAGGGAGGGGGGCGGGGGTGGGGGGTAAGGCTTGGGACAGATAGGATGTGGGGCCTGGGATGCCCAGGTGACAGCATCACAGGTCATCTAGGGACAGTCTCAGCCACTCCCTTTCCAGACAGAGACGGATGCCCAGAAGGGGAAAGCGAACTAATGCTTCACCTGGGCGTTCAGTCATAGGGAGTTGGAGCGTCTATGCATTGGAATGCTCAGGTTACACGGTGAAGTTTGAAAATAAAAAGCAGCACGTGGTTTACCGAGCAACACTCAACAGTTTCCACTCAGGAAGCTGAGGGAGGAAGTCAGAGCGGTTTCTTCCCGGGAACTGCTTTAGTGACAAACCCAGAGTCCCGTTTCCCTCCACCCGCCACGACTTCTGATTGCAAGAGATAACAAGGACCAAGAGACATCTGCTTTAGGACGGCCCTTGTCAGTTGAGAGCACCCAGGGAGAATTCTAGTGGTGAGGAGTTGGAAAAACTCTATCAGATCCAAGATTCACAACAAGCTTGACTTCTGTCAGGCGATGCCTAGGACTCTGGTTTGGGAGAACTCGTATGAATTCCTTTGAACATGAGAATTTGTAATATATCTAGCAGGAGACACAATCTGCTCTCAGCGGAAGGCTTGGGGACTCCCAGGACTGTTCGCAGAAGACAAAGTAAAACAGCACAAACTGGAGATTCTAGTCTGAGGGTCCTTTGCCTGATATTTTTTAGGTTCAACCTCGACTTACAGTGTATAGATTCACTAGTATGAGTTTGTTGAGTTATAATGGAGATAATAAAATGCAGATTTTTTTAAATGTTTATTTTTGAAAGAGATCAAGGAAGGGGGGAAGGGCAGAGAGAGACAGAGACAGAAACAGAGCTCAAGAGGGGTGGGGCAGAGAAAGAGAGACAGAGACAGAGAGACAGAGTGAGAGCAGGGGAGGGGCAGAGAGAGAGGGAGGCACAGATACTGAAGCATGGTCCAGGCTGCAAGCTGTCAGCACAGAGCCTGATGCAGGGCTCGAACTCACAGACTTTGAGATCATGACCTGAGCTGAAGTCGGATGCTTAACTGACTGAGCCACCCAGGCGCCCCTAAAATGTAGATTTTAAGTGTATGATTTGATGAGTTTTGATAAATGTGTACACGTGTGTAAAGACCTCATTCAAGATGTAGTACATTTTTATTAATCCAATTTTAACAGTTTAAGCAAAATTTAAAAATTAGACTGTAATAACTTTGGCTCAAACTTAATTTGTTTCTAAGTGTTGTGTGCTTCCTGCCTTGTTTTTCAAAGGTGAAAAACATCTTTTTGTACCAGTTGGGACGTTTTAAGAACAAATTTAAACCGAAGTATAGAGAGAGGCTCTCATAATTCTGTCTGCCAACGAGTGATAACCATTGTTCTCAACCTGAGGTTTATTCTTCTGGATTTTCAGATTTGTTTATTTAAGTAATTTCTGCACAATGGGACTGTAAACTCACGACCCCGAGAATCAAGGGTCATACGTGCTACAGACTGAGCCAGCCAAGTGCCCTTTCTTCCAGATTTTTGTCTATTTCTCTAATTCTACCTTTACTTATTTAAAAAAATGTTTTAAGTTTATTTATTTTGAGGTGGGGGTGGGGAGGCTCAGGGAGGGCAGATAGAGAGGGAGAGAGAGTCCCAAGCAGGCTCTGCATTGTCAGCACAGAGCCCAACGTAGGGCTAGAACCCACGAACTGCGGGATCATGACTTGAGCCGTAATAGAGTCAGACACTTGACTGAGCCACTCAGGCTCCCCTCTAATTCTGCTTTTAAAGAACAATTCTATACATGATGCAAATGATCTTTTTTTTTTTTTAAGAGAATACTAGATATATTTACATCGATATATCTAGATATCTATCTAGGTATCTATGTATCTAGATATATGTCCAAATTCAGGGAGATTATCTAGATCCAGGGAGATTATATATATATATTTTTTTTTTAATTTTTTTTTCAACGTTTTTTATTTTATTTTTGGGACAGAGAGAGACAGAACATGAACAGGGGAGGGGCAGAGAGAGAGGGAGACACAGAATCGGAAACAGGCTCCAGGCTCCGAGCCATCAGCCCAGAGCCCGACGGGGGGCTCGAACTCACGGACCCTGAGATCGTGACCTGGCTGAAGTCGGACGCTTAACCGACTGCGCCACCCAGGCGCCCCTAGGGAGATTATATTAATGAACACTTTTTAAAAATCTGTAAGATAATGCCTTTTACCCATACTGTCCTATATACTAGATATTATTAACTCTTGAATCTTAACCTGATTAAAAATATTTTTATTTTCATGTCTTTGTAAGAAAAATGGCCTTCTTATTGAACATCTTTTCCAACATAAGCTTACTCTTTGTATTTCTTCTCTTGAAAGGAGCCTTTTTGTTGGTCTTCTCTGCAGAGTATTTCTATTTTTAAAAATTTTTTTCTAGCACCTAGTGCCTGGCACATAGTAGGAGGCAGTCATTACTGTCCCATAACTAGGTGTGTGTGTCATGCAAATTTGCATCATTTTCAAGAGTATGGAGGGTACTACATTGAGCCCTCCTGGGGGCAACATCCAGCATCAGTAATTATCCGCCTGAGGCCAATCTCGGCCTTGCTGTCTTCATCCACTGCCCACTCCCACACTGATGGTTTTATTTTTATTTTTATTTATTTATTTTTTTAACGTTTATTTATTTTTGAGACAGAGAGAGACAGAGCATGAACGGGGGAGGGGCAGAGAGAGAGGGAGACACAGAATCGGAAACGGGCTCCAGGCTCTGAGCTATCAGCCCAGAGCCTGACGCGGGCTCAAACTCACGGACCGCGAGATCGTGACCTGAGCCGAAGTCGGACGCTTAACCGACTGAGCCACCCAGGCGCCCCCACACTGATGGTTTTAAAGGGCATCCTGTGAAATGATTACTTTTTGAGAGTTCTTTGGAATATAGGGATTTTAACTCTTTGGTCATGTGAGTACAAATCCCCCCCACCCCTTTCCATTTGTCTTTGAGTATATAATGATATTTTGGGGCCATGTTGATTTTAAACATTCATGTTCCAACATCTGTCAGTCTTTTCCTGTAGGGTTTCTGGGCTTTGTGTCAGTATCAGAAAGGCCTCAGCCACCGAAGTTTATAAAAACACTTTCTTTGATTGTATTTAAAAAATAGATTTAAAAGCTTTCATTCATCTAGAATTAGATTTCAGTCTAAGAGAAGGAAGGATTACATGCTTTTAGTTTTTTTTTTATTTTTTATTATTATTATTATTTTTTTTTTATTTTTTTATTTTTCAACGTTTATTTATTTTTGGGACAGAGAGAGACAGAGCATGAACAGGGGAGGGGCAGAGAGAGAGGGAGACACAGAATCGGAAACAGGCTCCAGGCTCCGAGCCATCAGCCCAGAGCCCGACGCGGGGCTCGAACTCACGGAGTGCGAGATTGTGACCTGGCTGAAGTCGGACGCTTAACCGACTGCGCCACCCAGGCGCCCCTATTTTTTTTATTTTTTATTTTTAAGAGACAGAGACAGAGCACAAGCGGGGGAGGGGAGGGACAGAGAGAGGAGACCCAGAATCCGATGCAGACTCCAGGCTCTGAGCTGTCAGCACTGAGTCTGACACAGGGGTCGAACTCACAAACCGTGAGATCACGACCCGAGCCGAAGTCGGACGCTCAACTGACTGAGCCACCCAGGCGCCCCAGGATCACATGCTTTTAAATGGTCCCTTGCTTGATAAAGATTCATGTTAAAACTTTTTACAGACACAGTAAAAAAGTTTCCCTGCTAAACTGTACACAAGCAGTTTAATCAGTATAAAATGATTCCTAATAAAGAGCATTAACTATGCGTAAGCGACCTTGGAGTAAGAAGGTGGGATCCAATCAGACGTGCTCAGTTCCCTCCATCTGCCTAGCACTGGTTTTAAATCTTTGGGTGTCAGTTGAGTGTCAAAGGTATTTGCATGTTTGCTCCTATTAGAACTTTCTGAAACAGGCCCTGTTTGCTCCAGATTTATCACTCTCCTGCTCTTCTGGAGATTATTGGTCACCTTCACCCCTTCCTGACTGAAAAAGGCACTGGGCTGTCATTACAGCCAGGAGTGGTGGGCTGGCCCAGCGGGAGGGGCAGGCTAGCGTGAAGGTGGCCATCTTTGCCTGTGTCAGGTGCTCACTCCCTGTGTCCTTCTCACAGGCACATCCTCATCTGCCTCGCTGCCTACCTGGGCTGTGTATGCTTTGCCTACTTTGATGCAGCCTCCGAGATCCCTGAGCAGGGCCCCGTCATCAAGTTCTGGCCCAGCGAGAAGTGGGCCTTCATCGGCGTGCCTTACGTGTCCCTCCTGTGTGCCAGCAAGAAATCACCAGTCAAGATCACGTGATGGCATGGGCGTGGTGGCTTGGCTTCTCTGCTTATTTTCCCTGATGCACGGGCTCCCTTTGCCAGGAAAGACAGCCGGGGGCTTGCAGAGTCCGGGGTAGGGCCTGTCTTTTAAAAGTTCTGTTCCCTTGGGCTCAACTAACGTGTCTGTGGCCCGCCAGGACTCTACCATGCAGGGGGAGGAAGGTCTTCCCCTTTCCCAAAGATGGAAAGTGGAGGGCTGAGGGGCACCAGGTGGAACTTCTCAGCCTCTTCCAGATACAGTAGTTTGTTGGGCTGTATCCTTTCTGGCAATGGCAGAGCAGTCCCTCGGGGAGCCCATTTCCCAGTGGGAGATGGGTCCAGACTCGACCATTCCCATGTGCTCTCCGTGTCAACTCTCCTGCTGACCGACAGGCCCTGCGACAGACTCAGACCTCTGTCTGATGGAAGATCCCAGGGATTTTCATTTGAGGAAACTGTCCTAAAACAAGACCAAGCCAATGAAATCCACACAGGGCTAATGGCTAAGGAGGCATCCATGTAGAGCTCTCCGTAACCAGGTTTTACATGCACTTGTGAATCTTTTCTCTACTACCTCTGCTGAGAGATGGGGATTTGACTTCAGAGGAGGGTGAAGCAGACGAGAAAAACCCTCTGTGCCAAAAGCTACACTCTGCTTTAAGCCATTCTTGAAGATGAGCACAATTTTTAGATGTGGACATTGTTGGCCCCCTCCCCAAACCAACGGTCTCACACACACACACACACACACACACACACACACACACACAGGATAGTTGTGGTGTGAACAGGTCTGCACACAGACCCCGGCTCCTTAGTGCCGAGCTCCGTAAGGTCCGGCCTCATGACAGTCACGGTGGGAGTCCTGCCTGGTTCAACGTCTGGAGCAGACATGAAGTTCTGGAAACTTGTGCTGATTAGAAGCCTTCTGGATGCTCTTCCATTTGGAAGTTATCCCCCAAAATGTCACCTCTTCTTTCTGCAAGATTTCCTGCGGGAATCGTACTCCACATTCTCCCAGTACAAGGTGCTTCCTGTGGTTTCTCCAAGGATTTGATAGCTGCTCTTCTCTAGAACTGTGGCTCTTTGGGTCGTGGGTGCAGCAGGCAATGCTGTTGGCCTTCTCGGTTTTTCCTCACCTGAAGGGACACTAGCCAAAACTAATCTCTTCATTGGGCCGAATGAAGACTCTAAAACAGTCATCAAGGTGTGAGGGGGAATGCATGACCTCAGGGATACTCACTTTAACTGACATCTCCCACTTTGCAACATTCCATCATGAAAGAGGGCAGGACATCCTTGTGTGGATGGGAGTCCTGTCGCTAAGGATCTAATAATTGGGCAGGACCAGCGCGTGGCAGGTCTAGGAACTTTGGCTCCAGTTAGAAGTTGCACAGGATCGAAGGTGAAAAGTCCAATAAGGAACTGAATTGAGAGTTTAAAAATGAAGGACTTTATTCTGCTTCTGTGGTTTTCAAGTTATTTTTAGCAGAACCCTATCTGCAATAAGAAACCATCAAGGAACCCAAATGTGTGATAGATGGTGCATTCTAGTAGTTTAAATTTAAGGCTAAACTTCTACATTTCCCTTAATACCATGCAGCGAAAAATGCAAGTTAAATTGGTGGTTTTCCATGGTAAAAAATTTGGGATTGAATGAGTGTACCCTGTTTATTATAGCTTAAAAATATACTTTAAAAATGGTATTTAAGTATTTGTGGGGCTTCTAGTGCACTTCTGAGACCTAGGTGGTTCATGAACTACCTAGAGTTTTGTTTTGTTTTTTAAATTTTTAATGTTTATTTTTGAGAGAAAGAGACAGAGCACAAATGGGGGAGGGGCAGAGAGAGAGAGGGAGACACAGAATCCGAAGGAAAATCTGAGCTGTCAGCACAGAGCCCAACATGGGGCTTGAACCCACAAACTGTGAGATCATGACCTGAACTGGAGTTAGATGCTTAACCAGCTGAGCCACCCAGGTGCCCTGGAACCACCTAGAGTTTTAAAACTGCTGTTCAGTCTTTTGGGTTTAAAGTCTAGAATTTTTCCAAAGGGAATTAGACTGTCCTCACTTCAGATGGACTTCCCAGGTTTGGATTCTGGTGTCATTCATTCTGGAGTATAAAAATGCTCCAAAGTAGGGGGAAGCTTTTTTTAATTTTTTTTTTTTTTTCAACGTTGTTATTTATTTTTGGGACAGAGAGAGACAGAGCATGAACGGGGGAGGGGCAGAGAGAGAGGGAGACACAGAATCGGAAACAGGCTCCAGGCTCTGAGCCATCAGCCCAGAGCCCGACACGGGGCTTGAACTCCCGGACCGCGAGATCGTGACCTGGCTGAAGTCGGACGCTTAACCGACTGCGCCACCCAGGCGCCCCAGTAGGGGGAAGCTTTGATTTACTTTAAGTCCAGCTGTCTTAGTGTGGAAGCATACATGAGGAGAAGGGGCCGTGGGAAGTGTTTGTGCTCTATGGGAGGTTTAATTTCCATCTCAAGGGCTCCTCAGTGATGAGAGCATTGTTCCAGCAGTTAAGGAGGGTGTGGGTCTCTCGATCAGGTAAAGGGGTAGGTCCCTGGGGAACACCACCTTCTAACTCCCAACTCTTTGACCTTACTCTTCTGGAAATTTCTTAGTGTCCTTTGGAAATAGAGATAAGCTGGGACTGCTGGAAATGAGGAAATAAGTGCCCTGACAGGGCTGTTTCCATCCACCTTCTACAAGAAGAATGGCTTAGTTAAGATGTCAGAAGGAATGCTTTTGTTGTAAAAAAAAACAAAAAAACAAAAAAAACCCCCAAACAAACAAAAACAAAAAAGAGAAAACAAAACAAAACAAAAACCAAAAAACAAACCAGAAGGCCCTTCTAGAGATTGGTTTTGATGAGCTAAGGGCTGATAACAGATATGGAATGGGGTACATTTTAGGAGGACAAAAACATAACTTCTACTTTTGAACAAAAATCGCTACGGCTTGTTAGTGTGAAGATGGTAAATCAAGAAAGTAGGAGTTTAAAGATTTTATTTGAAGTTAGGTTTCTGGCATCATTCATGTTTATATTTACGATGCTTTTATAGCACTCCAGGCTCTTGAAGAGAATTAGAAAGCTGCGGGAAAGTTGAAGAGAAAAAAGTAGTCTGCATTTTTATTGTCCAAGGACAATCATTGTTAATATTTTGGCATTTTGGTGTATTTCCTCATCTTTTTTTCTTCTCCCAATAGAGTTGTAAATAGAGGTCTTGTAGCATGCACAGTTCATCTGGTAGCTCGAATGGAATATAAATGTCACTTGTGTATTTTCCGCGAAGAGCAGCTTTTGGAATACACTTGAGTTAGCTCTGCACTTGAGAGCTTGTCACTGGATTCTGACTTACTGCTGAGTCTTTTTACATTGAGCCGGACATGAATAGGTCCTGAGAAATAATGAACCAAAGTCTACTTTTTGTTAGGCCTCTGCACTTGGGTTGACGAACGACAGAAAATAGCTATTTGATAGATGGCTCTGCAGGTTGTGAGGTTGTCAGATTTTAAAAAAGTGAATAGCTTATTGATGTGCAATCAAGAATCTTTCTTTGTTTGTTTTTTTCCCCCTGATAACGCAGGGAAGTGGAAAGTTGACATTCGGGAATTAGGTCATGGCTGTTACTCACCGTGGCAGTCAGATACTTGTTCTGCTTAGATAGAATTTGCCTGATGGAACTGGATCTAGGATATTAAACATTAGTATCCTAGTTATCAAGCAATCACTTAAGTCAGCGATTCTTATTTTATTAGTGTTTGGTTGAATGCAGACTTTTAAGAAAGCTTTTCTCCTTTATGATGATTAGGATTATACTATTAGCATGTCAGTGAATATATTTAAGGTGTGTGGGAGAGGAGATACCTGAATCTGTTCGGTAACAGGCTACTTTTGGGGGAAATCTGCCTGTCCCTCTGATTAGTGCCTACTACGTTCATTATGGATCAGAGATGTTCTGTTGGGGGACCTAAGCTCAATGGTCATCAAGCACAGACTTTCTAAAAATACCGTAACTTGTTCTATTTATTGGCTTTCTCAGGTGTGTAAAAGTTACTCACCAGTTCCTCATGCTTACGTGAGCCAGGGCCATGTTGGGGGCTCTGAGAGTGGGGTAGAGTCTTCCTTGGCTCTTTATCCCATGGGGCTGGCATGAGACCATCTCTGAGGGACAGGTGAGGGCTGAAGCTTGCCCAACTGGAGCCCCTCTCATAGCTCCTTTCCCCCAGATGAGCTTGGAACCTTTCATTGCCAGCTCTTGGCCGGGGTGCTCCCATTCCAGCTGGCCAAAGAGAATGCTCAGGCCAGGTTGGGGTGCTTAATGGATTTTACATACTCCTACAGGCAAAAAAAAAAAAAAAAAAAAAAAAAAGCCTCTAAAGGACTGATTGTTTAAATTGTTTCTTTCTGTGTATGTTAAATCAGGTTTAAGACTATTTTATAATCACAGTATGTAATCAGAGCATATATAGTATTTTTAGACCTATTCCTTGTTTTATACTTTAGATAGGTTGTGCCGTCTTAGGGTGGTGTGCCCAGTGGCTGTGGGAGCAGTTAATGTCCATTGTTTGGGAGCGTTTTAAGGCCTTTTGAAATGGAGCTTTTGCACTTTATACTATTTTTGGGAACTATGAGTTATATTTCAATATTAAAGCCATAAGTGGCGTTTTCTGTGAATGAAAATATGTTTATGTTTGTGTTTGTTTCCAAAATGATTCTGAAATATCTGAAAGGGAAAAATGCATCTAATGGGTTGGAGAGCAAAGCACATTTTCCTGAATTAGTTTGAGTGAATTTGGGTAGCCTTGCTATTCAACATACTTAGGTTAGCGTAGTTGTTTCTTCTCAGAGCTGTGAAATTAACACACCAAAGTATTTCCAGTACAAAGTGCCTAAAAACAGATTATTTTTATTAGAAGGTCTAGAATTAAGTCATGGATGTAAAAGCTCAAATATAGAAAACTACTCTATGCTGGATTTTCCCCAGTCACTGGAAGGAGGATCATATAACATTTCAAAATAGTAAATGACTTTATTTAGCAGGAAAGTTCCTATGTATTTTGATGTTTATTTTTGAGAGAGAGAGACAGAGCTAGCATGAGTGGGGGGAGGGGCAGAGAGCGAGGGAGGCACAGAAGTCGAAGGAGGCTCCAGGCTGTGAGCTGTCAGCACGGAGCCTGACACGGAGCTCGAACCCATGGAACTGTGAAATCAAGGCTTGAGCCCGAGTCGGACGCTCAACTGACTGGGCCACCCAAGTGCCCCCGGAAAGTTCTAGGTGTACCTATTTTGCTTAATTTTCTATGATTAAAAAAAAATCGTTATTAAAGACTTCATAGGCCATGATATTGGAAAGAATAATGTGACCATCAAAACAAAGACGGGATCGTTACAGTGGCTTTTTTTTTTAGACTTTTTTTCTGGCCTGGAAGAGATCAGGAGTGGCCACAGAGCCTTTTGACAATCTGATGGGAGTAGGGTCTTCTCCCCAGGAAAACGCCTATAGGTAGAGTTCTCTGGGAACTCAGGTTCCCTGGAAGCCACCCAACTCCTGCAGGAACAGGGCACCAGGCCAGGATCCAAATCCCATTTCTGGTGCAGAAATTGGGATCTCCACTGCCTTGCTATGCCACTGCCCTCCAAGACCAGTGTTCCGCCCCTCCTCTCCTCCGTCAGGACTTTACCCTCTGAGGGGCTGGAGGGGGCAGCCCCGGGGTGCTGGGAATGTACAACTGAAGTGTCCTCAACAAAAGAGGAGCTTACACTTTCCTCCAGCCTCTTTCCTGGCTTATAGTTTCAGACACTCCGTAAGATTTTATCTGGGTCTGTCATATTCTGCCTTCTGTATTGTTGGATTTTTCCACAATAAAAAAATTAAGAGGTAGAGTATTTGGGGGTTATGTCCTTCATTCTCTCTGGGGCGGGGCTCAGCCACCTTCCTGCCCATCTCAGGGGGACCCCGGCCGCCAGTCTTTCCAGCTTAAGCGTTTGTCTTCAGTGGGCACTTCTGTTTCTGACCATCTGCAGGCCTGGGGACACCCCACTTAACCTGGGAAGTCTCTCTGGGTGGTAATGCACACAAAGGGAAAGATCAACCTCACGTGTTTTTTGGTTGGTTGATTTTATAGCATGAAGACAAAACATTTGCTTCAGCTGCTTTTACCACTGAGAAGAGAGACCACAGCACTATCTTACAAATTCCACAAGTAGCAGTAAAATCAGTAGCTTTTGTAGTAAGGCTAGTGACAAGAAAGTGGCTTAAGGTAAGGCCAGGAGCATGACGAGACACAAAATGGATGGTGGCACTGGTGACATTTGCTAGGGAAGGAAGTCTGTGAACAAAGAAAGCCATAGCTAGCTAGAGTGGGAAGGACCAGGAGAGACTCCTGGAGCAATATCGCCATCTTGTGGCCTTTTCAGGTATTCCTTTCAGTGGCACTCGAAGCTCTTCCCAATTGCCAATCACCCCAGAGCTCAGTGTAATTATTTCAAAAACTCCAAATTACACGGCTTCTTTCTGTGTCCACATATGCTTTCCGGTTTTTGTTTTTTTAAAACCCCAAGCATCTCTCTGCCTTTCCTCCTCCTTGCTCCCCCCGGCAACTCATTCTTCACCTTCTCAGTGTTTGAACTTAAAACATCTGCCAAATACCATAAAGCAAATATTTTCCTGCATGTAAAACTGAGTTAACGTAGTTGTGATCTAGAGGAAGGTTTTTAATCCACCGGAGTTAAGTATAAGTTTTGGGATTAATAGTTCCGTTTACACAAGCTAAATGCCGGTACAATCCCCAAAATCTTGAACACAGAATCCAGTTTGAACCAACGCTTTGCAAATGCCTGCTTTGTATAACGTGTCATGCTATCTGCAGAGGGCTAGATGACGAGTAAGGCAGCGTGCTGTGCAGAGGAGAAGAGAAACCACTAACTGCTGAAATCCCTGCATACAAGAGGCATCAACAGCACTGGGGAGGCAGGCAGGAGAGACTGGTAATATTTGACCAGGGAGGAGTTGGAGTTCAAGACTTCTAATCTTTAACTAATGGACCATGAGCCGTGTTTAATAAAATGTAACGTCCGTGCAATGAAAGAATGGGTGTATTGCCCTAGGAATATTGTTTTCTTAAAGCATGCCTTATTTGAAAGCCCAGCACAGAAGTTATCTTTCACGCAAGATTGTCTTACTCCTATTTTGTGAGGCCAACCCACAAAAGGAATACTCACAAAAGGAATAGGATTCCTGTTTTGGGTGGGATAAAACTGAGGCTCAGAAAGGTATTTTGATCACAGGCATTAAGTGGCAGAGTCAAGATTTGAACCCAAGATTTTCAACTCTTCCGTTTAGTTCCCTAACAACGGATTTAATCTTAACTTTCAAAATGGCAAAAGAGGTAAAGGTTTTCATATAGGTGGGGGCCGAGTTGGGGTTAGCAGATTCAGAACTATCCCATTAGTACAAATGGTTAGATAAAACAGAGTAGCAGTCGGCATATAGTAGGCGCTTAGCAAAAGGCAGCTAGTAAGAATCTACCACCAAACAGTCGCAGAGGACAGTGCCATCTTGTGGCCACACTTCCCAGGGGTGACCATGTATGTACACATGGGAATCCTTCTACTGCTGGCTCCACAGTCCAAGCTGTCTCTTCCCACAGGAACAGATCTGCAAACCCAGTTCTTTCCTGGCCATCCCTGGCTGCCCTACAGGCACTTCACATTTGCCTTCACTTTCGCTCTCAAACCAGCACCTGCGCACCTGCTCAGAACACCAGGCCACTTTCCATTCATTTGCCCGGGAAGCCCGCCCCCCCCCCCCCCCCCCCCCTGCCCACCTCCCAGTGTTGTCCCCATCCAACCTAATAGCGAATCCTCCTGATTCCACTTCCCCAATGTCTTAAAATCCATCCATTTCTCTCCATCCTAGTGAAGGCACTGCTATTTCTTGCCGATCCATCCCTCCGTGCTGGAGCCACATCCATCTTTCTAAAGCGAAATTGGGCCAGGTCAGTTCATGGCTCAGAGCCCACCAATTCTTCTCCATCACTTGTAGAACAAAGCAAAGATGATTTGAGGGGCCTTAACGTGATTTAAAATCCCCGGTCCTTGCCTTCTTTTCCAGTCTTGTGAGCTTCTCTCCTCTTGTATGCTTCACTCACTCGAGGGTTGAAGAGCCTTGTAGGATTCTACATGGTATTTCACATGGCGTTAGAACCTGTATTAGCCACCCGTTGCCGTGTAACAAGTCACCCCAAAACTCAGTGGCTTAAAACAAAGATTTACTCTGTTAGGTCATAAGTTGGGCAACAGATTAGCTAGGTGGCTGTCGCTCAGGTCCTGCATGAGTTTGTAGTCAAGCTTTCAGCTGGGGCTGCAGTCATCTGAAAGCTTGACTGGAGCGTAGGCTTCACCTCCCAGGTAGCTCACTCAGAGGGCTGTTGGCTGAAGGCCTCAGCGTTTTGCTGGGTTCATGGCTCCACATGGCTCCTCCATAACAGGATGGCTGACTTTTAGACTCAGTGACCCACCAGAGCAGATGGGAAGCTGCAGCGTCTTTTATGACCTCACTTCCGAAACCACATTTGGTCATTTCTGTAATATCGTGTTTGTTATGTACGTCAGCTCTATTCAGCGTGGGAAAGGACAACACGGGTCGCATGAGTTGGGGATCATTGAGGGCCATCTTGGAGGCTGGTAAATGCACAACCTTTGCAGAAATGGTTCTCTCTGCAAGGATGCGCCACATCACAACCTTCCCACCTCCTGAGACTTTACTTCTTTCCAGGAAGCTTTTCCTATTACGCCCCTCCTTCAGCTCTTTTCCCCTTTTAGTGCAGTGCTTTTCACCCTGTATTGTAATAGGGCAAGGATTAGGCCTTTAAAAATATCGATTTCTTTCAAAATCTGGCACGAAGTAAAAACTCGTGGAATTTGATTCCAGGAATCAGGGACAAAAGCGGGGTGACGGTTGTGCGGTGATGAGGGATTACGGCAGAACTGACGAAGGCAGGACCAGCCACTTTTCTGTTGAGTAGAAGCGGAGGACACAGGAGAAGGAGACCAAAATGACCCCGGTGTCCATTTCCTATTCCTGCAACAGCTTAGTGCCTCAGAACCATACACGCATCATCTGGCAGTTCCAGAGGTCAGAAGTCCCAGAGGAGTTCCACTGGGTTGAAATCAAGGTGCCATCAGGGCTGCACTGTGGGGATGCTAGAGGAGCCTTGGTTTCCTTTCCTTTTGCAGCTTTAAGAGGCTGCCTGCAGTTTCTGGTTCATGGCCCTCTTCCATCTGCACCCCCAGCAAACGCTGGGCCAAGTCCTTCTCATGCCGCCATCTTTCTGGTTCTTTTCTGACCTCCTCTTCCCCTTCTAAGGACTCTGATTACACTGGGCCTATCCAGACAATCCGGGATAGTCTTCCATATCAAGGTCAGTCTTTAGAAACGGCCATTCCACCTGCAACCTTAATTCCCTTTTTCTATGTAGCCTAACATACTCACTCTGTCCCCAGGTGTCAAGTGTCTGTGGTAAGAAAATAATGGTGCCAGGAGTCAAACCAGAGATGTCAGAAGGAGGAGATTATGAGATGACAGCTGACTTTTAGTGAATGCTTGTGTGTGTCCCATACTTTACCTAACTGGTTCGTTTAGTCCCACAGCTTCGTCCTTATATACTAGTAATGGACAG